CAGTGGCACCTCAGAAGAAAGGCCTGGTGATCTGCTGCTAGAAAAATCAGCCATTGAAAACCCTGTGGAGTACAGTTCTACTCTGACACACATGAGGTTGTCCTAAGTCAGAATCCGCTTGATGACAGCCAGTACTGGTAATGTAGTGCTTGGCTTCTAGTAAGCACTGAACAGATGGTAACTATTATCTGCAGCTCAGAAAGAGAAGAAAAGTGAAAGAACAAGGAGAGAATAAATAATTATTAAGAACCTAGTATGTGCCAAATACTTTGCATAATTCCTTATACTTTGTCCTATAGGGTCGCTATGAGTTGGAATCGACTCCATGGCACACAACCGTTGTGCACGATATGATCTCATTTTGCAGATGAGGAAACTGAAGCTTAAAGAGCTTATGTAATTTGTCTAAAGTTACATAGAAAGTGGCAGATTTAGGAATCTGATTCTAAATTCTGTATTCTTTCTACTAAGAAGCCCTGGTGGCACAGTGGTTAAGTGCTTAGCTGCTAACCGAAAGGTTGGCAGCTTGAACCCACCAGCCACTGCACGGAAGAGAAATGTGGCAGTCTGCTTTCATAAAGATTACAGCCTTGGAAGCCCTACGGGTTGGTTCTACTCTGTCCTACAGGGTCGCTATGAGTTGGAGTTGGCTTGACAGCAACGGATTTGGGGTTTTATTCTTTCTTCTATGCCACACTACCTACTACAGTAGCTTCCTAGATGCTGAAGGTTATTAATTAAAGAGATTCATTCTAAATGATTTCCATAACAGACATGCCAGTGAGGGAGTTAACTTCTGTTGTAGGAATATGTTCCTGCCCACACACAGAGGTTCCACTCCCACTTCAAGCTGCGCTGCACAGTTGCCTGCAGTCAGGGTCAAATATCTTCTCAAAAAGGAGCTTTTAATCTGCTCAAGCACTTGAACCAAGTATTCGTTTAACACCCCAGAGCTCTGTGCCAAAGGCATGAGACCAGTTTTGCCTAAAGAGTGGTAAGGGCATGTGTTAACAGTCTATGTCCCTGTCCAAATAAGTGCCTGATTTGAGAACTGCATGTGGACAGCTGGGCCAGGATAAGGTAACTGCAAAATGTAACCCAGGCTGCATGGGATGACTTCCGGCGTGCGATTATTTTATATTCTACTTTAATGGAGAATGTTCAGGTAAAACAGTTTTATTTTGCATATAGACCCGTTGCCATCCAGTTGATCAGTGACTCTGTAAAACAAAGTGGAACTGCTCTATATGGTTTCCAAGGAGCAGCTGGTGGATTTGAACTGCTGACCTTTAGGTTAGCTGCCGAGCTCTTAACCACTGCGCCACCAGGGCTTTGTTTTGCATATAAAAACCAAAAATCAAACCCGTTGCCATCAAGTCAATTCTGACTCATACCAACCCTATAGGGCAGAGTAGAACCGCCCCATAGGGTTTTCAAGGAGCACCTGGTGGATTTGAACTGCCCACCTTTTGGTTAACAGCTGTAACTCTTAACCACTACGCCACCAGGGTTTCCGTTTTGCATATAGTTGTTGCTAACTTGTTTTTTCCAATAATAATTAGCCAATGGGATCCACTGTTTTTTAAGACTACTCCCCATTGATGATAAGAGCCTGTGGCTAGTAAAGGTGTTTTTCTTCCCTTTGCCATTTAATTTTAAAAGAAGAGAGACTAGAAAACAGCTCTTTTAATGTTATTGGGAACTGAATTTAAGGTTTATCCAAAGGCCATTTCTCAAGATTGACCATGAGCTGATAACTGCGGAAGTGGAATTCGATGTAACGTTCCGTCTGGTTTTGTGTATGTTTGAAATTTTTAATAACATGAAAGTTTTTAAAAGTAAACAACATCGACATTAAAAAAAGTTATTTTTATACTGATTCTATCATTAATTCCATGGACACAGACTTTGAGAATGTTTCTAAAGTTGGGATAGAATTACTCAGGTATCAAATACTGAAGGGGGTGGATGAATGCTACCCAGCATCTTAGGTTTTTCTTAAATTTATCTTAGTAAGATAATCTTACTACAGTAGTGGCACTCAAAATCCATTTGCTTCTTTTGCAAGTGTAGGAGGTGCTGTCAGAACCCAAGAAGTATCCCCTCCCACTTACCATTATACCTGGCCTCCTAGCTCTGTTCTTTGGAGCCAATTCTGCCTGCACTAACTAGGGGGCAGGCCTGAAGTGCTGGGAGCACCCCTCACCCAATGACTGAAGGCAGCATAACTCTGGAGGCTAATGTTCTACCTTTTCCCCCAGAATGCCCCAATAGATTTAGCTTTGTTTCCCAAAGTGGCAACTTGCTAGAAAACTTGCCCATTACTAGCTTCCTTCTCTTTTGTCTCACTTCTGCCCTTACCCACCGGTGTTCCCTGCAATCACTTCTCATAAATTTCTCGTGCTTGAATCTTTATCTTAAGATCTGCCTCTGCAAGAATTCAAACTAAGACAACAAGATGCCAAGTTGAGAGACCCAGCCTGCAACTTGTTGAGGAAAAATTTCGTAAAGGATTTTTAAAGGATGTCCTGTAAATTAAGGCAGTGGGTGATATAGGTTATTTCTTTCCCTTTTTAAAATCATGGAATAGATTACACTTGAATCTATCCTTTGCAGCTGATGTAAATGAATAGTTTCTCAGAGATTGGGGCTCATGACTCATGAAAAGATCTAAAGAATTCTTGGGTAAGGATTTTTTTATGGGACCTTTTTTTTCCCCCCTTGACTTTAGGTAATTGATCAAATGAATTAACATGGTTGGAATTACATAATCCCAACTAGAAATTTACCAGCTGAATAAATGTTCAAGGTGAGAATTGAGGGACATTAATTTGGAAATTCAGATGGTAATGCTGTCATAAGAGAAGACTCAAAGTCAAAGGCTGGATTCTGTGTGATGACATTCTTTTATAAATATTAAACTTCTTTTTATATTCTGTGTTTATCCTATATTCAGTTGAGTGGAATATTTTTAGTCAGTATCATTTGTAAATTTGCAGGCAAATGTCATCAGAAACGCCAAACTGTGTGTATAAGCCTTTTTATTTTTGACTGCCATCTTGTTTTGTTAATATGAATGAACATCTTGTATTTATGCTTATCCCAGTTTAATTCCTTTGAGGTATTTTGAATATTAGGGTGAGACAAAGGCAGGGACCTAGACTGATTCCCACGTTTTTATTTTTTTAATTTTTTTTATTGTACTTTAGATGAAGGTTTACAGAACAAACTAGTTTCTCATTAAACAGTTAGTACACATATTGTTTTATGACATTGGTTAACAACCCCACGACATGTCAACACTCTCCTTTCTCAACCTTGGAATCCCTCCAGGTTGTTTAAATTTAACTTCCTGGGTTGATTGTGGTGCCATTAAACAAGAAAAGGGCATAGTGATAAAGACTTGGGTTAGAACTGGAAGAAATGATGAGTTTACTTCTGGGCATTTGTGGTTTAAGGCATCTGTAGACCATGGAGATGGTGATGTCTGTTAGATGTTGAATATAAGGTCCTAAGCATAGCTTGCAAGACCTAAACTATCTTTTCCCTGCTTTGTTCTTCAGCCGTTTCCCCACCACAGTATATGCTTTAGCCACATCCGACTGCTCTCTTGACTCTCATGTTTGCACTGGGTGTTCCTTCTGACTGCAATCCCTTTGTACCCCATCCCCTCTGTCACCCAGGCCACTCCTGTTTGAACACCTTCCATGACAGGGCACTCACTAGTCATCAACAAGCACAGCATTAGTGACTAAGAAAGTGAGCTCTGAAGCCAGGCTGGCCTGGGTTTAAACCCCAGTTCCACCCTTCACCTGCTGTGACCTTGGCTTTTAACTCTTACTTTCCTAAGACAATGGGGATAATACTAGAACGTCTCATAGGACTATTAAGAAGATTAATGGGTTACACGTTTAAAGCACTTAGAACAGAACATGGCACATAGAACATTCTATAAATCTTTGCTATTATTATTAATTGGTATCTCATAAGACAGCCCATTTCATCTTCTGTTAAGAACATTTTTTTTTTTTAAGATTTATTTTAGTAATAGTCTTATCAAAAAGTGCCAATTTAAAACAATGACTGTTCGGGTCCTTTCTAAATCTTATCACAAACAGCTATTTTAAGTAATTTAAACAGTGTTTTTTCCTGCTTTTTAAACTTTAAGTCTTTTGTGTGTGTGGATTTCTATGATCTGTAAACTATTCATCTTTAATACCTGTTTTGTATCTCATTGCTTTCTTAAGCATTTCCTAATATTTGAGTGTATGAATTATTTCCAAATTTTTATTATTCTGGTTAAACCTGCTTGACAAGCTTTTTCCTTTGGAGTTAATTGCTTGGGATTTTTCTGAAAAGTGAAAAATTTTGGATCAAATTTTATTTTTACACCTTTTATGTTGTTTCCCAAAATGTTTTCTAAAATGTTTCTGTAATCTATTATAACTATATATATATCTATTAGCTATTATAAGTCCTAACGTAAGAAATTTAAGAATGTATCCATGGTGATTTAAACCACTTTCTAAATT